TTCTCCAGCCTGTCCAGGTCTCGCTGGATGAACTCAGGCTTTGCAGCTGACCTCCTCAATACAAAGCAGAACCTTCCTTGGTTTTGACAAACCTATTTCTGGGTCTTTGCTCTGCCACCTGGTCTGGTTTCTTGTCTCCTCTCCTCTCTCCATGGACATCTGCATGGTCTTCCAACACCAAAAATGTACCCTTAAATACAAATCAATGACAGTACTCTTGTACTCCAATGACTGTGGAATGTAGCATTTTTCTAAGAGAACTATGTGTAATCTACTCAAAGAAACAAAAAAAAAGACTTAAGAACATCATCCTTTAGGTAGGACATATTGAAGTGTCCTTTAAGTAATTTTTGAAGATTTATTTGTAGATACCCTCTATTTTTAATCTGTTGTTTAATTGAATATTCAATATTCATTTTAATTTCATTTCATATCCAATTCAATGTATTTTATATTTATTCAATCTAAGAATTTCTTATTCAGTATTTCTGCCTAACATCCTCCTTTACCTGTGAGGAAGGCTGGACACCATTATACCTTAAGAGATTTAATTTGCTTTTGCACGCACGTAGAATTGTTCAGCCCTAGCTAGGTACCCAAAACTGTGAGATTTTGAAGCCTGCGTGACTGCTCTTACAGACATTAACTCCACTGTGAAGTTCAGTAAGGAAGAGTTAGTAATTTCAAGCTGGATTATCTTCTTTACACACATAATAAACCATTCCAGCATGACATTAAAAGGGAATTTAAAGTACTCCGTAACTTCTAATCAAATTAGAGGTCTTGAAGCAAGCATCATATATTCATCTTTCTCAATAGCTCTTACTCAAATCTCTTAAACAGTGCTGGGGCAACCAGACCAGTCATAAGAAGTTCTTCCAGTTCTTAGTCTTTTCACTAAAGGGAATATTTGAAAGATGTAGACAAATTCCGTGGATTTTTCTCTTCCCTGTGTAAATCCTGGCCACTGTTTTCCTCGTGCCTTGTGTCTGAGCACAGAATTACACCTGTGTAACTTTGTTCCCAGAGCTGAGTAGGTGGATATGTGAGGGTGAGTATATCCTCCCACTAACATTGTCTGCATATTTTAGGGGGGAGTATTTAAAAATATCAGCTAGCTTTATCCTTCAGGCAGGTCCACAAGTGTCACATATTATTCATGTTGTACACCCTGTAGCCTAGTTGTATCTGTTCTTTGCCGATAGACAGGCAGTCTCTTGTTGAACTGGTATAGTTATTTTACTGTTTCTCTTTTATTAACAGCAAAAAGAAAGTGGAATTCCACTTTGCTAAATCACTTCTAGACTTCTGTGTGTGAATTTTTTGTTGATTTGGTTTTTTGTTGCTTTTTTTTTTTTTCCTTTATGCTGTTTGCACTTTGAATAGACAATAGTAAGGATATTTTACCAGAGATTTTCCTTCTCTCTGCCTCTAAGGGAGCAATGGGAGTTGTAATTAGCAGTAGTAGGAACTCACTCTAAGTGATAGACGACTCAGGACTTGGCAGTCACTTACACATTCCTGCCAAATGTTCTTGCCTCCATGATGTTTGCTTCATCCTGGCAACTTTCCACTTGCAAAAAAATCAAGCCATTTGCTGGAGGCAAAAGGAGAATTTGCTTGGGATGATGCCCAAATGCAAAACTCATATTTTAATTGAGGCCATTTTTTACCTGGAGTGAGGGATGGAATGTGTTTCTGAATCCAAGAGCAGATATATGGGTGTAATTAAGGGAGATGGATGCTTTCCTATGTAATTCTGGGACAGCATGTACACTGTAATCCCTGTGACACAGAAGAAGCCACGTGAATGTACCTCAGTCCCTACCCAACTCTCTCCCTAATGCCAATATAATCTTGGCAGCCTCCAACACTAGAACACTGATCTGATTGTCTGAGGATCAGATACATCTCCAAAATGTCTGTAACCACTTGAGCAAGTCCTTTGTGCCAAGTGTTTTGTGGCGGATCTTACAGATCACATCCAGGCTTCTCTGACAGCATCTTACAGAATGAGAATAACAATTTATTTGTGAAAGGGAAAAAATAAGATCAAAACATTGTTGTACACAGCATGTTGTATGTAATGTGTCAGGATCATGGAATCAGGTCATTGTTTGAGAATGACAATGTTCATTAAACATCCATAGATTAGGTAAAAATCTGAAAACTCTGGAGAATGGCTTGGAAATGTAAAACCCAAACATTGCACTCTCTAAAATCAAATCAAAGGAGTCCAGGATTCCTGGGGCGTTGAAAGCTAGGTTTGCCAGAACCCATCATGTGAAGTTATCAGGGTGAAAATTGGGATCAAGCCTTGTTGGTGCTTTAAGAGCTGAAGCTGCAGGCGACTTCAGTCTTGAGCAATTAATTCCTGAACTTGAGTAAAGATAAAATGAAAATAAAGCAAAGCAAGAATGTTAGCTTGGGAAGAAAGAAAGACTCCAAGGTGTTTTTTTAAGCTGCTAATTGAATTAATATATCCCCAGCTACAATTAAATGAATCTAGACTGCCTTTGCTTGTGGGACACTGCTCCTTTATCATCTACTGGTGCAGGCCTTGTGAAGAAAAGCTTTCTGAGGCCAATGTGTTGCTAACAGGTGGACAGACATCTTCTCGCGAAAGAGTTTCCACTAACATTGTTCTATTAATAGAATATGCTGATCATCCTCAAACAAGGGCTTTGCTGAAAAGGGAAGTGAAGTAATTATCCAACTGTCCAAATAGAGAACAGTTTAAATAGAGAAGAAAAACCAAGACACTTCATCATCTTCCCATTTTACAGTGGTAGTTTATCACCATGAGAGGCAGGGCTTTACATTGGCAGGCTTTATCTGAGGAAATGAAAGATAGAAGGGCATCAGGCATTTTTGTTTGCGGCTTCCTCTTCTCAGTTGTCTGAAAACTTAAAGATAAGCTTAATAAAAGGAGATTTTTCTGTTAACCAGAACCAGCCCCTCCAAAATCACTGTTTGCTGTCAACAAGACTCAGACCTCCGTGACTCTGCTGTGGGTGGAAGAAGGAGTGGCTGATTTCTTTGAAGTCTACTGCCAGCAGGCTGGATCTAGTCAGGAAACAAAAGTCCAGGTATGTAAGCATCTCTCCTTTGATTTCTGCTCTTCATCTCTGAAACTGAGATTGGGTCTTGCATCTTTCTGGCTTGGTATCTGCTGCTTAGCCTTTGTGTGTAAAGCCCAATGACCTTTTATGCTCAGTACACAGGTTAGATCATAAAACCAAATGTGGTAAGGTGGTTCAGAATGAAACCTTTAAAAGCTAAACCACTGAAGCATTTCAAATCTAAAATATGTTGTTATTTTACAATATCAAAATTGGCTTCTGTCTTATTGACGAGATTATAACTAGTTGGACAGAAGCTGTGTGCATCCAGCAGAGTGTCAGTCTTTGCTTACTCATGAAAATAGCTCTAATATACTGTGCAAAACCTAAAAGGACACAAAACTAAGGGAATGTCAATGGGCAGGAAGGGAAAAATGATCAGGTAGCTTGATAAGGAATGGGAAAACCAGACATATTCAGATGCCATAAGATCTTTTATGCAGCATTTAATTATTTCTGCCTTACTTTATCCATGGTTTGGAGAACTGTTAACTGAAGTTCAATAGGACCTTCACTGCTTTTCAAAGAATGCCTTTATGCTGCAAATGCAGCTGCTTCTCCTGCTTTTTGTCTCTTAGGATACTTCCTTTGAGACCCACCTTCTCAGCTTCACAATTGGACCTCCTTTTCTCTCCATCTAGTTAGGTACCTGTGCTCAGAGGCCATCTGAATATCTGAGTGTTTAGACTGGTAATATTGTTCAATGAAGAATAGAGCAGTAGTAGTTTTAATTCCTTGACATTCAATGCTGTGCAACATATGAGACTTTGCAGTTTAGCTGATGATAAAGTGAATCACTGTGATTACATGCCATGAAACATCATTCTGTCATGTGGACTGTCACACATTATGGGGAATCATTCAGAAAAAAAATTTTAAAAATAACCCAATTAGACCACTGATTATCACAAAAGAGACATACATACTCTTTAATCCTATGGAAGATCAGTCTGAATTATTTAATATTCTTTTTAAATTGAGAAAGGCACTGATGAAAGGAAAAAAAAATATATTTAAATGCAATTTAATCTTTTGGATAGTTTGGATTCCCCATCTAGTTTCCTGCTTTTTCCCGGTGAATAGCTAAAGATCGTGAAGTCATTATCTACTTAGCAGAGATTCAAAATAATGACGTGGTCAGGCAAGGAAGGATTTGCTGCTTTAGTGCAGAGCAAATCTGTTTTGAGAACATCAGGAAAAGACTGCTCCATTTGGCAGGAGCTTCAGTGGGTGTCTCATTTGTTGACATGAACATCTGTCACTAGGAAATGCACAGAGATTGTCAGCTCACTTCTCATTAGATTTGTCACTCTCTTTTCAGTCTCTATGAAAAAAAAGAGGAAGGGCTCCTTTTTAAACTGTAAAAAGGGATGCTTTCCCATTTGACTGGTGAATTTATTTTTTTAAATGATTTTCCATGCTAATTACATGAACATTTTTGTCCCTTTCCTCCATTTTTAAATCAGCAAAACAAAAAGCAATAACTTTCCAGCTTTTAACATCTTGGGTTTTGGTTGACTAATTTAAATTTCCCAGAGGGGAAAATGGAAAATATCCAACGAAGTACAATTGGCAAACTATAGTCCCTCCTTTCAGCTCAGGGAATAAAAGTCTGTTCCTTTACACTCACGTACATGTGATTTAATCTGTGTAACGTACCTCGGAACTGCACTGCAGCAGGCACCCTTGCTAGCCTAGAAAAAGCCCATGAATGACAACAGGCCACTGCAAAAATCCAGTGCTTTGGACTTGCTACAGGATCTTGCACTCCCCATCTGGAGTGAGTTCATTCATAAAACTTCTCCTTGTTCCATTTCTAAACCACTGACTCAGCATCCCTATTTTCACATCTGCAACCCACCCTTGGTTCTGCTGGACAACACAGAAAAGCTTCTGAGGACCTTAAGGAGCTTTATCTTTAAGTCAATGCATGTGTTGTATTTGTTGTCTTTTGCCATATCAACATTTATAAAGCACAAAAATTTTTATCAGGGACGTAATAATTAAAATATTGTATAAATATGTTATGTAAGGAGTTTCTGGTAGCTAGAAAAACTGAGGTGTGGGATATCTGATCATAGTTATTACCCAAAGGCTTTGCTCAAGCTTTGTTTTTCACCTTGGCCTCTCAAAAGGCTCACAGAGAGGAACTGCCTTTTGTCCAGAGGAACTGCCTCATGTCCAGAGGAACTGCCTCAGAGGCAGATATGACACAGATTCATACAAGCCTGTGGAGATTGTGATTGCCTTGGTTGAGCTTTGAATAAAAATAACTTTGTTTTCCTCCTACCTATATGGCTTAGTAACCGGAGCTCGTGAGCTCTGCCCACCTCCGAGGATGTCCTGGAGGTCACAGCGCTTTCCTCCACCAAGCATGTGCCTGACCAGCCCCCTCTGAGGCACCCTTGGGGTACTCTGGGTTGTTCCCACTGCTGGTTTCACCCTTGTTCTTCTCTCCTCTTCTGCTATCTGGCAGGGTTACCTGCCTGTGTTCAAGAGCAGGCCCTGGTTACCTTCCTTGGGTTTTGAAGCGCTGGTTTCTTTCACCAGATCTGACTTTACCTGGTCAAATATAGGGATAGAGAAGGGAATATTGATTAGTGCTCTTGCAATTACAAACCTCTGAATATTTTTCCCCATTTCTGCAGGAACCTGTCACTGTCTTTTCACACGTAGTGACCGTTTCCAGCCTAACCCCTGCCACTTCCTACAACTGCAGTGTGACCACCTTCAGCCACAACAGCCCCAGCATCCCCGCTTTCATTGCAGTTTCCACCATGGGTAAGTAGCACTTCACTGCTTTCCTCTTCCTCCTCCAGTTACAACATCTGTTTCTACTTGCTTTCTAAAGCTGGTCTTGGTGACGCTGGCCCCAGGGGTTAGTTGGATCATGGAAAGGCTGCCAGATGTGGATGGGATGGGGAAGCAGCTTTAAAAAGTCCTTAGAAAAATGCCTGTTAGGGGATTGACTTGGAAAAAATATAAAGTAGAGGCTCAGTTCTCTACTGGGTTTTAGAAATCAGGGACCTGGTTTGTGGTGCCAAGGCTGAACATCAGCGTATTCCTTGATGACATTTATGGAGAAAAACATCTTCTCAGCCAAGCCCAAGCAAGAGGAAAATCACATTTATAAGCTGCTAAGGCAACAAATTGCTTTCTGCTTTCAGTGAGGAAGTAGAGACAGGGTGAGAGAGAAGAAGGGCCACTGCCGGATCTTGAGCAGTCACACCCCAAAGGGATAGCTCCTGATGGAGGCTCCTTGGGCATGTTGTGAAGCTTGGCTCTGTACTGACTGAAGAAAGAATATCAGTGTTGAACTGCCCAGAGCACTGGACTCTTCTTTAAAATCTCTCCTTCAGAATGATCGGTGTCATCTCTGCTTAGTTAGGGAGTTGTGTAGCTTTAGTCACTGGTCCTGTACATCATACATTACTCCATGCTGGAGTTCAGTGTCTGATACTTAACTTAAAAATTTCCATGATTTTTAATCTAAAAAAAATACTTCTCTAAATTAAACTGTGGATGTGAAATTATTCTGAGCAAGTAGAGAGATTTTCTTATATAATGAGCATAACAGGGTATCAGGTCTCATAGTAGCACAGTCGATAAGCACATAATATGGAACAAAAATAAATCAAGGTTTTGTCATTGAGAGTTTATTCCAGCTCTTCTTTAAAACAGAATATTTTGTTAAGATTTATTTGCTAAAGTGATTCAATCAATTTCAACCCAGTATATTACAGAGCCTCAGCCTGTTGTTTTGCCTCTGGGTCAGAGAAGTTATTGATTATTGTTGAAGAACAACTTCAGAGTTGAAATGTACGTTGGAGACATAGATGATGAATACCTGTCTTTTACATTTCCTTCACCCTTTTCTCTTGTGTTATCAATATCAGTTAAAGAGGAAAACAAACAAACAAACAAAAAAAAAACCCCAGAACATACCAAAGTTTTAACAAAATGCCAGAGTGAAGTCATTTCCCCACAGAAATTTTGTAAGAGTCATAACTAGTCAAAACCTCCCTTTATCTCTAGTGGTAGATTTTTCTCTCTGTGACACTCCAGGCTGAATGAGATCAGTTCAGAAAAATAATGCTATCAACATTCAGGGGAAACAAAAAACAAACAAAAAAACAAAAAACTGTCAGCACTTCTGAAATGAATAACCAAGAGCCCTTGTTTGTATCTATAGTCACTGAGATGAATCCCAACATAGTGGTAATCTCTGTATTAGCCATCCTAAGTATCCTTCTGATTGGACTGCTGCTGGTGACTCTTGTTGTACTCAGGAGAAAACATCTACAAATGGCCAGGTAAGTCCAGACTTATGCTAATTCCAAAAATTTCAGACAACAGCAAACACATCATGACAATAGTTGCAATTGATGATGGTTGTGTGCATGAGTTCTACTCAAGATGCTTGTGAATAGAATACCTTCAAAACAATTGTCCTGCTGCTATCTAGGAATACTGTGTCTTCTCCTTCTATCTACTTTCATTCTTGACCTGAGTTATAAGCCTCAACCTTTGTCTTATTTTGAGCTTTGCAAGATTAGGTCCATATATTTATATTATATTATAATATGTTATATTTATTATATTATATTATATTGTTATGTTATGTTATTTTATATATATTATATTAATTTACTTTCCTGTTTCAAGAAAGGAAAGGATTTCATGTAAAAAAACTTATGTGAAGAATCTTGCACTTTGCTACCTAGCAGAGACTGCATTTTATGTGTCACGACATGGCTATGTATTCCATGCAACAGGTGACCACACCACACATTTTGCAGGCTCTTTCAGTGGACATTGTGGTTTGTTCCTTTTACATGCAACTGACTCTATGAAAAACCCAGCTAAATTAATTCTTTTTCCCGTTTAATTACTGTGCAGGCAACCCAAAGCTTTTTCTTTTTCTCTTGATCATTGCTTCTAGCCACAGAAAATAAAAAACCCAGGAGGAAATTAAAAAAGTAAATCCAGTGAGATGCTGCAAGTAATTGCTTGCTTAAGTTAAGGAATCAAAAGTAGTCAAGTCAGTTTATCAAGTGTAGCTGAAAATAATGGACCTGTGATAAATTCACTGGAATGTTATTCAGGAAATCCAGGGAGTTTTCAAAATTCTTTTGTGAACTCAAAATGACAAAGCCCCTGTCAAATGGAGACAATTACACATCTCCTTATGGCTGGAACAGTGAAAATTTAGCATAGAATGTAAGTATCTAGCAAGTGTACTGAGGCCAGCAACTAGTGCTAGCGCCGGACTGTAGAAAGCCCAAATCTGGACAGAAGATGAGATCTATTTGAGATCTTCATTAGCAACTTCTCCCTTATTTCACTCTTTTAAGCATTATTAGGAAACCTGATCTCAGGTGGTGTTGAACATTTATTGGTTTTGGATGACTATGTTAAGGGATTTCAGTTATGTTTAGCACAGATTATCTCAGACCTAGTCAGAGAAATGAGTGTTCAGTACTTTTCTGCAACTCAGAGAGTTAAATCAACATTTTTGCAAGTGTTATGAATCCAAAACCAGTAACTTTGTACCCAATGATCTTCCTGAAACAGGGAATGCGGGGCTGGAACCTTTGTCAATTTTGCATCATTAGAGAGAGATGGAAAGCTTCCCTATAACTGGTGAGTGTTTGAAGCAAAGCTTTTAATTCTGTTTTTCCCCCATCTCTGCTTTTTGGCAAATATGATCTTTAATCTTAAGTGCTTATTTTTTATGTCATCACTGTTCCTCTTTAAGATAGAAGTACTATGCCATTATTTTAGTATGACTCAAGACTATGTATTCTGTCACCTGCTATTTTTAGTTGGGAATGATGTATATCCACGTCAACCAAGTTACATAGATGTGTTTCGGGAGGATTTTGTTTTGTTTTGTTTTTCTTACAGACCTATTTCCTAAAATAACACAAAAATGTAGAAACTTGATCTATAAATCCATTAACTCTTCCATAGAGAGATATTTACATCCAGGAGTAACCTTGCCTGTAGGTGACCAATTAGCAACTGTCTTCATGCAGTGCCATTAATTAGTTTTTCCTTGCATTGCAAGACAAGGACAAGCCAAATCAAATATTTACTGGAACTTAATGTTCAGTGGTGTTGAAAAGACTCAGGATGGGAAACACCACGTATTCTTGCTAGTCTAGAAAACTACCTGCAAGAATTGCAGGTACTGACTATGGACTCCAGACCATCACAGACACTATCAGCCAAAAAGCATTTAAACGTAGGAAGTCTGTAGGACTAGCTTTTATAGAAGCAAAAGGGCTCTGAGAGCTACTGACTGGCACCAATGTGGTCATTTTCATTCCTATTTCGATAATCAAATGGGTGCTAATGACTGACCCAAGGTTTACTGTTTGGTTATCAGCAAACTATGCAAAAAAGCTCTTCTCTTTCAAGGCAAGTCCAAACACAGATATAAAGCAGCTCGCTTCCAGTATGTAGGAAGAAGAAAATAGGCACCTTGGTTTTACACCCATGGTCAGCCTTGTTGACAGCCAAGAAGTTGGAAAGAGGAATTGGTGTGCAGGGAACTGCTTCCATGATCTCATGGGATCCAGCCTGCCAACAAGGACGGGATTAAATGGATTGACATTGCACCACAACAAGCCTTTTGCTAATAAGCGTGCAAACTGAACTAACAAGCCCAGCAAATCTTGTCAGTACCTCACTGTGCTGCTAATTAACTGGATATTAAACAAGCTTCACTTGCTTGGTTTAGCTTTAATAGCAGCCAGCTGTATGCAGTACAAACTAATCCCTCTTTCAGCTTCTCTTGCTTGGACTATATTAATGGCAAAGGCGGCAGAAGATCAAACACTCATGTTAATTAAATATCCAAGCTTGAATCGAATGATTAAACTAGCAACAGGTGTTATTAAAACCATAAAAGGCTTTTTTTCTGGGAAGAGGAATTAATTAATAGGTTTGGATGTGGACGTGAAGGTTGTTGTTGCTTGATTTAGTATATGTGTATGTATGTATGTGTGTGTGTATATGTATATATACATAAAATATGTTATAGAAATACAAATTGGGGGAAAAATATTCTTGCTTAATATCTCCACAAATTTTTGATAACTGGAGGCAGTGTGCCCTAATCTTATGGTCCTGACTTCTCTGAGAGTTAGTGATGATACCTTGTTTTGTGTGCCTCTGTTGTCTAATGTCAAGACCAGATTCACTGTCCATCCAGGCAGCCAAATGGAAAATATGGCCCTAAAGACAGGTAGAAAGGTTAAGAAACCGGTTTTGTGGAGGGTTATTCCAGGGGTCTAGTAAGGGAGCTATGGCTGTATCCGCTGATTCCTGAGGAAAGCTCAGCTCAGCAGATTTTTCAGGATTTGAGGAATTTCTGCATCTCTGTCTTTTAATTAGATAAAATTGTTCATACACCTGAGCAGTAGTTGAAAGACTATATAATTCCAGAGAACAATATTGTATGTATTACTTATTTTTCATACATTGAATGAAATTGATTGGTTTAGATGTCAGAGTTCCTAATCTGTGAACAATGTAAGTAGGTCTGCAAGAACGTTAGCCCGTGATTTGATAAGAGTGTGGAAATTTCTCATGATGATTTGATGATGAAAGAAGACCCCAGCTTAAAGAATTCCTTCTACCTCTGTAGGCAGGAGGAAGTAAAAACCTCACTCAGAGTTTCCCAAAGGAAAGAGGAGTCCTCTGGCAACATCATCACTTCTTTCTTCTAAGCCTAATGAAAACCTCTCTGTGGCAGCAGAGACCTGCTTATGGAAAACTGAATTTCAACCTCAGTCCTGTCCCATAGAAACCCAAATAACTGTTAAACCCTAAGGCCCTGATGCTGCTACCACTATAGCACATGATTAACTGGAAAGGGCTCTTGATGCTGGCCAAGCCGCACAATCCCTACCAATGCCTGGGGAAGGTGCCCTGCGGAAACTGCGCTGCTCATTTGCTCTTCAGCAGCAAAAACTCATTAAAGCATAATTTGGGAGTTTTCACTGCATGGGCAGAATTTTCCCCCCAGTAGTGGGAAGACTGAGATTAGAGATTATTACATTTGACATGATTTGTTTATCAGGGAGAACACCGTATCTACCCACTTTATAAGAGCCAGGAGTACTGAAAAAGGAAATTTCACTTAGTGGTTCCTCTTTAGAACAGTTGTAGAAGGATGGTGTTGCTTTTAGGATAGCAGATTTTCTCATGGGGAAAAAAAAACATGGTGAGGGTGTATTTGGCAAAAATTCCTGCTACCTGCTTGTTTTAAGTTTCGTGAGTTTTTCACATTTGCAAATTACCTGTAGCCCACTCCACCAACAGGTAGACCAGTCCTGAGTGGGTTTCCTGGGTGAGTGCATAGCAGAATCTAGTAAACAGGTTGCAAATACAGAAGTTGAAAATTATTTTGTCCTCAAATTTCCTTTAGCCACAATGAAATCTGCTGTGAATAGTTATTCATAGAAACCACAGTTAGAAGTTGTTCAAATAAGTTTTTTTGCTGGAAACCTAAGAGAGAATTTAAAGTGCTTAAAAATGGGACTCTGCAAAATGTTATGTTGATGCTTTCAGAAATCGGACTCAATAGAGGGTATTAAGAGATACTGGAATGATCTGAATTTATCTCTGATACAGATGTTCTGATATCCACAGGATCACTTGCAGGAGCAAATGTGGGAGATTATCATAGTTTTACACGGTAAAAACAGACTGTGTCTGTCCTGAAATATCTCAAAACATCAGAAAATAGACTTAGCACCACCTATGTAATGACCATAAACGTGTGGACGAAATTTTCAAACAAATTTTACTTTCTGAAAATCTGCCAGTTTATTAATTAACATTGATTTAGAATAACAGGCTTGTATCAATACCATAAAACATATTTATTTTGATCATACATAATTTTATGTTGGATAGCTGAAAATCCTGCATAGGGTGTCAGTTTGAGGAGTAAAAATTCTATAGATTCTAATAATATAATGAAGTAAGTAAGAGGAAGCCGTTATGGGTTTAGCTGATTTTTAAAAAAGAATTTGCTGATCTCCTGATTTCTGTTTGTCTTACTAACTCTCCTCACTTTTTCATCTTTATGTATGTTATTTATTAATGCTCACAGGCGTAGAAGTGTATTTGCTTTCCTAACTCTGCTACCCTCATGCCTTTGGACTGATTATCTTTTGGCATTTTATATTAATCCTTGGTAAGTGATTTACTTGTTTTTCCATATGCAATATGTAAACAATGTTAATTTCTATTACATGAAAAATGTGTGATACCTTTTGTTTTCAAATGGGTCAAAGCTTTTGAAGATATAATTTTCTTGTCCTAGAACATAGAGAGGATGTGGGTATCAAAGTATTTGCTACCCTGCTTCATCTAGTTTGTCTGTTTATCCTCCAACCCATTTTGATATTAAAAAGCTAATCTTAGTCATCATTGCATTCATCTCATTGCTCTCTTTGCAATTTTGCCACTACATTATAATTCCTGGCTTTTTCTGTCCCAGTTATTCATCTGTTTGCTGCCTGGCTTTGCCTTCTGCTGCTGCTTTTATATTACTAAAATTGCTTGATTGTGCCCCACCTGTTTGGTGTGTGATGTCAATACTTTAGTTTTTAAAGGTGCCGTTATGCTCTCCTGACATCGGTAAAAATTTTGCTTTTGGAAACAACAGTTCACTGAGAATTGATATGAACTAGCTGTCTTGAAGTGTAAAAAATAGGTCACTGTGTGCACGTCTCGGTGTGTATGTGTGTATATTTAATAGTTTAGTCTGTAAATAATTTATAAGGACTCAGTACGTGACTCATTGGGTTTTTTTTTGAAAATACCTAATGAACAAAGCCCCAAAGAACCAGAACTTTTTTACAAACCATTTAACAAATAATTATAATTAACTATGATCTAAAAATGCTTTATTTATATAAAGGAAACTTAAGTTCCTCATGGTCTTGAATCCAAGGTATAGTGATTTACAAAAATATGGTACCAAAGTTAAGATTTGCTTTTGACCAAACATTTTGCCTGGTGTTGCCATACAGCACCACAGTCCTGCCAGGCAGTTGTAGAAATATTCAGAGTAAAGATTTCTGAGACTGGTTTTCCTTGGGTCACATTGAGTCTGTAGAAAAACCCTTCTAAATTTCTAGTGGGCCCAGGAAA